AAATAAACGATGGTAGATGGGACTCAATTGGGATTTAATGCAAATGCAATGGCATAGCCAGCAACTCATAATTGTATTGGGCGCGAGAGCCATGCAAGTAAACTAAACGGCGACTATCAACTACGCGAGGTCGAATAACTGTACAACAATTGGAAACTAGAAAGACATTAGCGTTGATAATTCAGTCAAAATGAGCGGACATGAACATACATTGAGCTTAGTTGGTGATTGGGGCGGCCAGAGCGGGACCGGGAACAATAACAACGGGGGCGATGACGGGAGCGGGATTGATCTTGGAGACAGCGCCGTCGAGATAGCGGTGGCGATAAAATGCGAGGGCCTCCAGGCGGTTCGACTTTTTCTGGCGGAACTGGCCAGGAATTCCCGTGACCTGGGCATCGGCCTCAGCACTGGTAAAAGGTATTAGGCGTGGTACAGGACGCAGAAAAAGGGGAAAAAAACTTACGAACTGCCATAGAGGCCAGGCTCGCGGCCAACGGTGACGACATACCAGGATTGCTGGTCGCCAGTGCCTGCCGGGAAAGCTATTTCCATCTGACCGGGGGTTCTGGGATGGCCGTGGACGAATGCGGGAGCGGGCGCTGGAATAAAATTCAGGCGAGGTATTAACATCAATAATGGGCAAAGGGCATACGAGTGACGAGGGCGACCTGGGCGGTGACGGCAACTGGGATGGCTGCTGGGGACAAAATGAGTCGCGGGCTCAAATGGCGGGGAACGACTCACTGTTGATGTCGATCGTGAGTTTGGTCATGTCGAGCGCCAATTTGGAGAGGGCGTCGACTTTGGCAACAAGCGCCGCCAGCTCTGTGGACACAGGGGTGGTGGCGGTGGTTGCAGTAAGAGGAGTGGACATGGTGAAGAGGGGATGAGGGAGGAAGACGGAGGAAGATGGCCAGACGATAATAAATAAGAAAGATGGCGATCTCACGCACCAAAAAGAGAAAGAAGGTGCGATGGTGCGCGATGGCTCAAATAGCGGCGGCCGCAGATGGCGCGATAAAAGAGAGGTCTTGTCCGCTTTGGGTGATCCGATTATGGCTATGAAACCCTGTCGCTCGCTTCCATCTGCAAATAATTACATTGGCAAAATAAACGTACCTTACAATGGCGCCAAGACCATGGGCGACAGAGGAGGAGAGGGAGTGGTTGCAGCAGCAGATGGACGACTATCGACGTCTGCAAGCGGAGAGGAAGTTGTACCTTTTCTGGCCAGACATGCAGCAACGGTGGTTCACCCGCTTCCCGGAGTCCGAGAGGCTGGGCTTGCCGCCGCAAACCGAACCGGCAACCACGGGGGAGTCAGATGCGCTCCACGCTGCGATGGCGCAGCGGAGAAAGGTGAGCACGGCGCTTTCGGAAGAAGTCAGAGATACTGATATGCGCCCGCATGGTAGAGACTCACCAATTGGTTCAGGCACGAGGGCCGGAGGTGATGCATCATGATGCTTCACGATAGCAGCGGCTTCACACAAATTGGCAATTGGACGGTGGCGGGCGGATGTTTTTTTTGGGCGGAAACTGGCTGAAAAGGGATGATGTGAGGGGTTAGATTGGGATTGTGGCGCAGTTGGCGGGCTTGTGATAGACGACGATCGAATACGGGGAGAATTGGGGGCAAGAAAGTTGAGTATTTGGGCGGTTTCGTGATGGAGTTACAAATAGATACTTCTATCTTGCTGCGACTCTCTCGACATTCTCTCTACGCAGAAAAACTTGAACTCTTACCGCAACAAATATTGTGATGGCTCCCAAACCATGGGCGACCGACCAGGAGAGATCCTGGCTACTTCTGCAGATGGCCGACTACGTGCTGCGCCGAGCGCAGGGGAAGCTGCACCTTTTCTGGGGTCAGATGCAGGAAGGATGGTTCCACACCTTCCCGGAACACGACAAGCTGGGCTTCCCTCGGCCGAGCGACGAGAGTGCAGCGCCGCTGACGGCGGAGCAGCTGGCCGCACTGGGTGCAGCAATCGTGAAGCGAAAAGAGGTGAGCTCGATAAAAAATACTTAAAGATTTGAACGCCGCTGATGGACGCGCATAACAGCAACTCACGAATTGGTTCAGGCGCGAGGAGTACAAAATCCGGACCGTGCCCAAGGACAAGCGCAAGGGGGCGGCGGGGCTCGCACGCGCACTGTCGGCGAGGCCGTCGAAGCCGCGGGGGCGCGCGCATCAAGCGAAGGAGATCTACCAGAAGGAACACAAGGAGGAGATTGCAGAGAGAGGTTTTCCTTCGCTGAACGAGGCGGCGAGGACGCAGTTGAACGAAGAAGGCGTAGAGGAGACCCTGGAGGAGCAGGAGGTGCATGTGAAGTTGGCCAGGGGAGAACGGATGCGCATGCGCACCCAGGTGGTGTCGGAATTGTGGGCTAACGCGTCGCAGGAGGAGCGGGACAAGGCGCAAGCTCAGGTGGAGAGGGAGAAGGAGGCCAAGAAGAACAAGGAGCTGGAGGACGAGCAGAACGAGGGTAAGAAGGCGCCAGAAGAATACCAGGAGTAAGTAGATAATCGCGTCGCTGAATTAATTCTTGGCTGAAATTCGTTGTCAGAGGGATCGACGGGTTACGCAGCTTGTTCAAGGAGGCGCACAAGTTGGGGCACGAAAGCTCGGGGTGGGTTGGCTTCACGATGTTGGGCGGGCCCACGCCGCGACAACAAGGGGAGTTGACGCTGAAGGTGTGAGTGCGAGTTTCCTAATGCGGCGACCACTGTCTTTGTCATCTGACACCTTTTTGCCACTGCCAGCATCTGCCTGGGCGAGACGCCTGCCGGGAATGACTTCGAGTCTTCGTGCACCGATTTCGAAGGGACACTGGTGAAGGCTTTCGACCTCTTCTTGAACCGAGTTTATTGTAAGTGGATCGAATGTGATGGAGATACTGGCTGATTGGTTTTCTCTATAAAGCTAAAGCACAGCGAGAGGAACGCGCGCTACAACCCGCCGTAGTGGAGCCAGCGACTGCGCCTGCACCGACGGCCACCGCTCCAAAGCGTGTTGCGAAACCAAAGAAGCCCAAGCCGACTGGGCCCACAGCGGCGGCGTCTACATCTACCTCGACTTCTGCATCTCACTCTGGGTCGCTGTCGCCTATATCTGCGTCTTCTTCACCCGCGTTCGCCACTCTTCTTCGTCTCCTCCGGTCCCCGCTGTTGCCCCGACATCCTGGCTTGCGTTATGCGCGACGACACCTCAGGACAGCCAGCTCTTCTTGGATGACCTGGGCGCCTCGCTGGACGCCACGTTTGGGCCTGGATGTGATGTGGACCCCATCGCGGACCCGACAGTGGCGTGGCTTGCGGGACCGGATGAGATGGACATCTTCGGGATTGGAGATTCGTCAGGAGTGGAGGATTGGGCTTGGCCAACGCAGGAGGAGACGTGGGCGCAAACTGTGGGCGCGGGGGCGAGTGGCTCGGCTGTGGGAGTGGCTCCCCTCGCGTCTCCTGCAGCGCCAGTCGCACCCGCTGTCTCACTTGCCGCCGTGGTACGTCCAACTGCTCGGCCGTGCTTCAAGGGCGCCGCATTTCCGAATAACCACATCGAGGATGGCGCAGACGAGGGCGGGTTCGTATTCCCGCCAAAGTCGACAAACTTGATCGCCACTCCCCAAACGTCTGGGGGAGGGCGAGGAGCCTACCCTAGGAGCACCCTTTTCGAAGCGTTCAGCGGGAGGCCCCCGTCCCAGTCGTCGCCCATCACGCAGTCCCAGTCCCAGTCGCCCATCACGCCGGATGGCACGCCCGCAAGTCTGAGGAGGAAAACGTGGCTGAGCCCGCCCCGCAAGATTGCGTTCCCGAGCCGCACGAGGGAGGCGATGGCCAGCATCCTCGCCATAGCCACTGCCCGCCTGTGACGACCGCGGCTGCCTCCTCATCGACGGCCGCGACTTCGACTCCCTCCATAACGCCGGCCCCCGCTCCCTCCTCGACGATGGCGGCGGCTTCGACTCCGCTGATCCCCCGCGTAACGCCGGCGCCCGTGCCCGTGACGCCGGCGACGACGCCCTCCTTGACGACACCTGTCGCCGCTGTTGTGGCGGGAAATGCTTCAGTGTCGCAAGAGGAGGAACTGGAGGACGACGGGCCCCACTACCCGCGATCGCGGCCACAGGGAAACCTGCCGTCGCAAGGTGCACGCGGTGGGAAGGCGAAAGCGAGGGGGGGGGAAAAGGGGGCGTGGGCGCGGGGGCGCGGCATCGCGAACGGGAGGGCGGGAGGCGGCGGGGACGACAGCGGAGGCGGCAGTGGATGGTGGAGCGCCACTAAACGACGCGACGAATCAGGTGGCGGTAACGGGGGACACGCCTGTGCTGGTGTACACCATGGGGAACAAGACGATGAAGTTTAACAGAGCGGTGGAGAAGCGGCAAAAGGCGGCGGCAGCAAAGAAGGAGGCGGAGAAGAAGGCGAGGGAGCTGAAGGAGGCGAAGGAACGGGGCTATTACGAGACGGCGAGACGCCCACCATCGTTCTGACGCCGCCGCCGCTGGCGGAGCGGCGGACGCGGAGGCCCACGGTTATGGGGGACGGGAGCGCGCCGTCGCGGGTGGTCAAGGGCATGCGCGCCCATGTGGCCAATACGAGGAGGGACCCGAATGCGGCGTCGGAGGCGGCGCTGTTGGCGAGAAGTGCAGGGGGAGATCAAAAGAGGAAGACTAGGGAGGAGGAGCCGGAGGAGGAGGCGCCTAGAAAAAGGTTAGTGCCAGTTGCGAGAGTTCGGTCGTATCTGATGTGATTTTGACAGGGGCAGGCCAAAAGGGAAAAAGGCGGCGACTTAGGGTGAGCGTTTGAGGGTTTGCTGCTCAACCAGCTAATATGCGTCGCTGCTCAACCAGCGACTGCCGAGTTCGAGGTATTGAGCAGTACTTAGATGATTAGGTACTTAGTACAATTAGGGACTGAGAAAAAAAAAATTTTTATCAATGCCGGGGAAGCGCCAGGTGGACTGGGGATGTCCACAGGGATATATCTCAACGTCCCTTTGGCTCAATTGGATAGAGCGCCAGATTACAGTTGTTATGACTCATCTGGCGGTGTGGGTTCGAATCCCACAAGGGACATTCCTGGAGCCTATAATATTTTTTCTGTGGAGAAAACGACTGTTTTATTTCATGCACTATAACCTGACGCCGAACTAATACAAGGTTTATATGTGGACCTGGTGGTTCGAGTGGAGAGTAGCAGGTCAACATAATGATGGCAGTTCTCGTATACTCTGCGTGTTTGGGTTCGAATTCCACCCGGCATTAGTCGCATTGATCCTTTTTGATCGATTTTAAAAGATGTAGATTTGTGGCGTAATTCTAATATAAGGTTTAGGTATGAGGGAGGAGGGAAACGGCGCGATGGATGAGCCATCAAATCGAGCGGAAATGGGCGCAATTGATGGCCCATCAATTGCCCGGCCATTTTTGCTCAAAGGCGCATTGGTTTGAGACAAGTTATACTCTACGTACAATATGTTCGCATAATTCACGGCTGGGGCGAAATAAAGCGGAGGACGGAGGGGGGAAAAGGGCGCGATTGGTGGGCCATCAAATTGAGCCGAAATGGGACGCTATTGATGGCCCATCAAGTGCGCTCATTTTCTTTCAAAGGCGCATTGATTTGAGACAATTTATATTCTACGTACAGGATATTCTATAATACACAGCTGGGGCGAAATGAAGCGGGGGGCGGGCGGAGCGGGCGGGGGGGGGGGGGGGGGGGGAAAGGGCGCGATTGATGGGCCATCAAATCGAGCCGAAATGGGCGGGCAATGAGACAATTGATATTCTACGTACAATACATTTGTATTATACACGGCTGGGGCGAAATAAAGCGGGGGGCGGGTGGAGCGGAGGGAAGAGGGCGCAATTGATGGGCCATCAGATTGAGCCGAAATGGGGCGTAATTGATGGCCCATCAAAGGAGGGCGCGATGGAACGCGTAATTGTGGGAGGTGTAGAGGAATGTGGAAGGGCGACGGCCTGCGACGGCGTGGATCCAGCAGAAATTAAACCCGGGAAATGGGGGCGGGATTGATGGGCCATCAAACGCACCCAGCGGATAATTGATGCTCCATCAAATACACGAAATGGGCGCGCGCAAAGGCGCTTGGAGCGGGATTGATGCCACATTAAAGGCGCGCGAGGGCGCATTGATGGGTTGCACGGCCGCCGCCGCAAAAGGCCGGAACGCCGGATAGGGAGTGATATGGGAGGAACAAAGCTGCAGTGATACAACACAACGGATAGCTGATTAGCAGTCATGATGCATCATGCCGGATAGCTAACCAGCGGTGCTGTGATGTATCACATCCCCAGCTACGCCTGGCCCTGCAGAGGCACCGGAGGATGCATTTGGAATTTATAACCGTTTTTCGGACCAGATGCAGGCATCATTGGCAAATTATCCTTGGAAACTACTGGAATTGCAATGTTCTGCTCCGTGAACTTCCAAGAGGGCTGCAGAGGATAAAGGTCCCATTGCTATCATGATTAGTCATAAGTATCAATTGGAACATTGTATTATATGCAAGGAGAAGTTATTTTGGTGCACTATGGCGCTCCAATACGGAGAATTCAGCCGACTTCCATTTATGGATATCGGCACGGGAGTAGCATCATTGTTCGAATCATCCACATCAAAAATTTGAAAATCTACCAGCCAGAAGCAAGCCTTCCAAGGTGTAACTCATCGAATGAAGTCCTTGCAACCACTGCAAAAAAAGATGTCTGCAAAATCCAAGTTTTAAGCTTTTTTGCAGTTTCACTGCAAGTTGCAACCCAAAACCCTGCTTGCACTGAGATGTAACCAGCCAATAATTTTTGCACGCTATATGTACCATAGTGGTATGACGAACCTTGGACACATCTTCCTCCCGGAAAGACTAGTCCCAGTGGGTAGGCGTTTGATTTGGTTTGATTTACAACGTGCGGATGATTGTATAGTATGTACAACTGAGCCCCAGGCGGCAGGAGATCGAAAATGTGTCCAAATTCAAGTTAGGAAATTTTAGTTGAAGAAGCGTGGGGGATATACGGTAGTGGCGATGTCGATTACGAAGGCAGGCTGATGCCCGAAGGATAGATATTTAATAAAGTATTAGCTTAAAGTTGTCCAAAAACGCAGAGATAACGCGATTGGAGGAGGAACACTAGGACGCTCAGCGATCCGAGTATGTTAGTTGGGGCATGCCTTCTGCGGGAGGGAAGATATGCGAGTTCTATCTATCGCATCAGCACGAATTTAGGTTGCGTGTGGTTGAACAAACTTACATGCAGGCAGACAGCATTATAGGAGCGGCGATCTGATCTCCGTTTCGCCGATACTGGGGCCGGGAGCTCACCGCATTTGAACTGCATAAAAAATCTCAATAGGGGTAAAGTATTCACGCGAGCGACGGGACAAACCTCGGTCCTCAGAGGATCGGCGGAGTGCAGACTCTGCAGCTTGCGATCTGGACATGGCTGTACTGAGGGCTTTCGCACGTTCAGGCTGGTGTTGAATAATGAGGCGTGAGATCCCAAGGTGGGAGTGGGAAAATGCATACGAGAAGAGCAGCGAATTTGAGAACACTGTTGCTCTGTGAGCCGCTGAAACTGGGCGAATATGGGAGACATACGCTTTGATAACACAAAGTATATTGCGATCCAATTGACTGGCGATCAGGTGGTGCGGTTAGAGGATATGGGAAGGTGAGCAATGGGAACACATACAGGTGTCCTTCATTTTTATGAACTGAAAGAGAAAAGGTTTTAGTTGGGCTATACGTAATAAATTCTCACCATGAGCTTACACAAATAAGGAGAGCCATGGCCCCGACACTGAAATGTCTGAGCCTCGGAGGCAGAAGCGCCATAGTTATTCACCTTGTTACCAGTCCAGTTTCTAGTATGGAACGGAAATTAATTAGCGAGCCAGCGGCACGTTACTTGGCGCACGTACCAATGCTCCACTGCATGAGGCGGTTGACCAGATGATTCATTCTGAAGGAAACCGCGAAGTGAGCAATGCGAATGATTTTTCAAGCTATGGACGCACCGGATGAATCCATCGCCTCTCCATGTGCTCAAGTGATAGCACAGGGCAGCCACAAGAATAATGTCGGTGAGGGCACCAATCACCAGCACCACGATAATCAGCCAGCCCCACTTATCGACGAAGACCAGGACGGGCATGCGCTGCAGGGCGATTGCCCCCAGAGCGACGGATCCGCAGGCGCGGCTGACAGAGAGCATGGTGCAGAGGACTGGCAGGCGATAACACTTGCCGAACTTGTGTACTCTGTAGGCGAACCACACCTGTTCGGCAATAAGCACGAAAGAAAGAAGTATAGAATGATGGTATAGACGCAACTTGTTCCAGTGGGCCGATAAAGCCGCTCAGCAAAATAGCGAGGTTAAGGGAGTCCGGGACGGTGGCGAGCAGCTCCGGGTGTCCGTATTGCACGACGGTTATTATGTACATCGCGTTGCATATCGCGATCGTGTGGCCGCAATCCAGACACCAGACGAGTGCCACCTCCATCCAATTCGTGAGGGAGGAAGCGGAAGGCAGGAGAAAGCACTTACCATGCCTTTGATGAGATAAGGGTCATTGGGAAAACGAACGTGGTAGACGGCCACCTGTGGGTTCCAAGAAACTCATCAGCATGCTACTTTTGGGGCAAGTTTTGGGACGCACCTGAACGGTGACGGCCCCGAAAAGAAAGACTGCGAAAACGACACCGATTTGCAGGGCGCCGATAGTCGGCCCCGCGTCGAACTCTAAAGTGGACATGAAGGAGAGGAGGGAGTTTCCCCCGACGCCTTGCAACGCAAGATAATAAACAAAAAGTTGACGGCTTAAATTCAAAAGCGTCAATCAGGATATTCTGATAAAGTAACTGCCAGGGTTAAATACCTCGTAGCCACCTGACGAACTCGAAGGTCGTGCTACCGACGGAAAGTGTGGGGAATGGCGTGCGAGAATAAGTGCCGAGAATGACGCCCATAAATGCATGGTCTATGTATAAGGGACGGCCGCCCACCCTGTAACTCAATTTTACCCAGATTGGGTTTATTGCTGGGGTGCATGGGAACAAGATCAGAGTTCCGAACAACGGGTAGGCAAAAAAAGTGATAGGCGTCATATGGTGTCATAAGCAAGCCGCTTGCCCGTTCAAAAGCCGTAAAGCCGTAAGATAGATGTTGCATTTGCGCGCGATTGAACGCAATACTGTGCTTCTGCAATGACGCATTCCAATCCTTATGTAAAGGGTCTTGTGCGAGGAACAACAGTCCCTTCGGCTCCGGTTCGAGCAGGAAGCCAGAGCGAGCGCGGATCCTTTCGGGTACCTATAAAAGGAAGGAAGCCTCGCCTGGCACCGACAGCAGTGTTTACTCCTTGGCGATAATAAGTCGGCGACACAAAAACAGAGAGAAAGCAGAGCCATGGGTAATATAATCTGAATTGACGTTGCAGAAAATCGGCGGTGATCAAATATCAAAGTCGATCTCGATGATGTTGAATGATAGGATGGGTGGGTTATGCATGACATGGTCATTGGCTTCATTGGAGGACATATTCTCTCACCGATATAGCTCCCTTGAATTAGGCGTGGGCTAATCCGATCAGTCAAAGCGCTATTGACAGGACTTATTGTATAAGGTACTTGGTTCTCAACCCTGCACCTAATAAACGACGGAAGGACGGAATTTCCAAGACAGTCAGAACGCCACTGACACACAGTGAGTGACTGGTCCGAAAGCTCGTGGGATGGTTTGGTGAAGCAGAGAATCTAATCGAATCCACCTCCCGCGTTCAGTAAAATTACTTCCATCGATTTGATGCTCCTTGCCGCTGAATATTGTTAGCAAATAGATGTATAGAGTTTGACTGCGTCTCACCGCTTGAAGAAATGGCTTTCAATCCGTAGGATGGGCGCGCGCTGACGGGGGGGTCAGAGACGCGAATTCACGACAGACTGAGATAAGGTAAACGCATTTTGCGTTCACTCATCACACTCGCTCGCGTTATTATAGGCCTTCCACTTCCATTGTCCATTATCATGCCAGCGCATCCAGCCACCGCACGC